GCTTGTACATTTAGTTCCTGACAGCCCATGCCCAGTGCCACGTATATACGCTACTGCATCTTGCTTGTCATGTATGTTCCTGAACAAGCCCATGACCCAGTGCTACGGTTATACGCTAGCTTGCATACTTTGCTTGTTACATGTATGTTCCATGAACAAGCCCATGAACCCAGTGCTCCGGTATATACGGCTAGGCTGCATACTGGCTTGTACATGTATGTTCCCTGAACAGGCCCCATGAGCCCATAGCTACCGGTATATACGCTAGCTGCATACTTTGCCTTGTACATTTATGTTCCTGAACAAGCCCATGACCCAGTGCTACGGTATATACGCTAGCTGCATACTTGCTTGTACATGTATGTTCCTGAACAAGCCCATGACCCAGTGCTACGGTATATACGCTAGCTGCATACTTGCTTGTACATGTATGTTCCTGAACAAGCCCATGACCCAGTGCTACGGTATATACGCTAGCTGCATACTTGCTTGTACCATTTATGTTCCTGACCAACCCATGACCAGTGCTACGGTATATCTCTATCTGCAATACTTGCTTGTACATTGTATGTTCCTGAACAGCCCATGACCCAGTGCTTACGGTATAATACGCTAGCCTGCAAACTTGCTTGTACATGTATGTTCCTGAACAACCCATGACCCCAGTGCAATACGGTATATACGCTAGCTGCATACTTGCTTGTACATGTATGTCCTGCGAACAAAGCCCATGACGCAGTGCTACCGGTAATATACGCTAGCTTTGCATACTTGCTTGTACATGTATGTTCCTGAACAGCCCATGACCCATACTACGTATATACGCTGCTGCATACTTGCTTGTACTGGTTCCAAACCCAGACCAGTGCTACGTATATAGTGGCATACTTGCTTGTACATGTATGTTCCTGAACAATGCTGTAAGAAAGTAACTACACGCCACACATTCCCTGATAGGGTTGTATAATTCTGTAACAATTCCCAAAATGTCCAGGTTTTCCCGAAATTCCTGGTTCAGGGAACTGGATTTTTCCAAGTACCGGATTTTCAACCAAGTCCCTTACTCTTCCATTAGATGTCTAGTTATTCATTTTACACAGAGTGAATTGATTGATAGGATGGAATAACAGGCCTTGGTCATTTAGCAGATGTCTGCTCATTCTTATTTACAGAATCTTCTCTCTCTAAAACAATAAACTGTTTGCTTTGGTGGTAATAAGAAGTCATTCACTTTAGTTGATTCTGGATGAGTGTTTGCTATGTAATCTCAACATAGTGCCATTGTCATGGGACTATTCTAAGTGCACTACTCTGGTCAAAAGTAGTGCACTGTATAGGGAATAGGGTGCCATTTTGGGACGCGACCTAAGAGCTATCCATCCCCAAGCCCTGCACTTATCCGCAGTGTGACTCCGTGACTCAGTGTAATTTGGGATAACTGTGAGCCAATAATGGGCCAGTGATTTTCATTTGACTCACAGGAAGCAGAATCACCCCACTTTTTCTCCTTCCTCTCCCACTGAGAGCAAATCAGTTCCATTCACAGGGAGTTGAATGACTGTACACCAGGACCTTGCTGCAGCCATTTCACAGTGGTGCTGCTGTTCTGTATTATTGTTATACTGCCTTAAGGCTGTTTACCCATTGTGTTTGTTTGGCCTTTGAGGAGGTTTAAAATGAAGAGGGGGAGGAAATAAGAGAGGGGAGGGGCGGTACTTTAGTTCGAGTGTTTGGGCGACTGACTGTGGATTTAACGCTTTCCAACACTGATGACTCTTCCATTTAGTAGTAGTAGTGAGAGACTGTCGTGTGTAGTAGTAGTGAGAAGCGGTCGTGTGTAGTAGTAGTGAGAAGTTGTCGTTGTGTAGTAGATAGAGAAGCTGTCGTTTGTGTGTAGTATGTGGAAGAGCTGTCGTTGTGTAGTTAGTAGAAGCTGTCGTTGTGTAGTAGTAGTGAGAAGCTGTCGTTGTGTAGTAGTAGTGAGAAGCTGTCGTTGTGTAGTAGTAGTAGTGAGAAGCTGTCGTTGTGTAGTAGTAGTAGTGAGAAGCTGTCGTTGTGTAGTAGTAGTGAGAAGCTGTCGTTGTGTAGTAGTAGTGAGAAGCTGTCGTTGTGTAGTAGTAGTGAGAAGCTGTCGTTGTGTAGTAGTAGTGAGAACTGTCGTTGTGTAGTAGTAGTAGTGAGAAGCTGGTCGTTGTGTAGTAGTGTAGTGAGAAGCTGTCGTTGTGTAGTAGTAGTGAGAAGCTGTCGTTGTGTAGTAGTAGTGAGAAGCTGTCGTTGTGTAGTAGTATAGTAGTGAGAAGCTGTCGTTGTGTATGTAGTAGTGAGAAGCTGTCGTTGTGTAGTAGTAGTAGTGAGAAGCTGTCGTTGTGTAGTAGTAGTGAGAAGCTGTCGTTGTGTAGTAGTAGTGAGAAGCTGTCGTTGTGTAGTAGTTGAGTGAGAAGCTGTCGTTGTGTAGTATAGATGAGAAGCTGTCGTTGTGTAGTAGTAGTGAGAAGCTGTCGTTGTGTAGTAGTAGTGAGAAGCTGTCGTTGTGTAGTAGTAGTGAGAAGCTGTCGTTGTGTAGTAGTAGTGAGAAGCTGTCGTTGTGTAGTAGTAGTAGTGAGAAGCTGTCGTTGTGTAGTAGTAGTGAGAAGCTGTCGTTGTGTAGTAGTAGTGAGAAGCTGTCGTTGTGTAGTAGTAGTGAGAAGCTGTCGTTGTGTAGTAGTAGTAGTGAGAAGCTGTCGTTGTGTGTAGTAGTAGTGAGAAGCTGTCGTTGTGTAGTAGTAGTGAGAAGCTGTCGTTGTGTGTAGTAGGAACTGTCGTTGTGTAGTAGTAGGAGAAGCTGTCGTTGTGTAGTAGTAGTGAGAAGCTGTCGTTGTGTAGTAGTAGTAGTGAGAAGCTGTCGTTGTGTAGTAGTAGTAGTGAGAAGCTGTCGTTGTGTAGTAGTAGTAGTGAGAAGCTGTCGTTGTGTAGTAGTAGTAGTGAGAAGCTGTCGTTGTGTAGTATAGTAGTGAGAAGCTGTCGTTGTGTAGTAGTAGTGAGAAGCTGTCGTTGTGTAGTAGTAGAGAGAAGCTGTCGTGTGTGTAGTAGTAGTGAGAATCTGTCGTTGTGTAGTAGTAGAGAGCTGAGAGGACTTGCCTGTCTCTGCTGTGATCCCTCTTTACCCTTCCCTTTCTTTCCATGTTTGCTGGAGGAAACAAACGAGATCAAAGTTAGGAGGAAGTAGAACCTCTTCCTCCGGTGGTCAAAGGGATGTACTGTTACTGCAACAGTATGTGCTGCCTTGTAGCTATCACAAAGAACACAGCACTGTTTCTCCAGCTAGGTTTGGAGACACAGCGACATACAGTGCTATGAAAAAGTATTTGCCCCCTTTCTAATTTTCTCTACTTTTGCACATTTGTGATACTGAAAAAGTAATTGCCCCCTTACACTCAATAACTGGTTGTGCCGATGTGGAGGAATTTTGGCCCACTCTTCCATACAGAACTGCTTTAACTCAGTGACTTGTGGGTTTTCAAGCATGAACTGCTAGTTTCAAGTCCTGCCACAACATCTCAATTGGGATGAGGTCTGGACTTTGCCATTCCAAAACTTCAAATGTGTTGCTTTTTAGCAATTTTCATGTAGACTTGATTGTGTGTTTTGGATCATTGTCCTGCTGCATGACCTAGATGCGCTTCAGCTTCAGCTCACAGACGGATGGTCTGACATTCTCCTGTATAATTCTCTGATACAGAGCAGAATTCATGGTTCCTTCTATTAAGGCAAGTCGTCCAGATCCTGAGGCAGCAAAGCATCCCCAAACCATCACACCACCACTACCATGCTTGACCTTTGGTATGATGTTCTTACTGTGGAATGCAGTGTTTGGTTTTCGCCAGGCATAATGGGACCCATCTCGTCCAAAAAGTTGACTCAAGTTTGCCAAAAAGCACCTGGATGATTATCAAGACTCTTGGAAGAACGTTCTATGGACAGATTATTCAAAAGTATAACTTTTTGGACGACATGGTTCCAGTAATGCCTGGCTAAAACCAAACTCAGCATTCCACAGTAAGAACATCATACCAAAGGTCAAGCATGGTGGTGGTGGTGTGATGGTTTGGGGGTGCTTTGCTGCCTCAGGATCTGGACGACTGCCTTAATAGAATGAACCATGAATTCTGCTCTGTATCAGAGAATTATACAGGAGAATGTCAGACCATCCGTCTGTGAGCTGAAGCTGAAGCGCAGCTGGGTCAAGCAGCAAGACAATAATCCAAAACACACAATCAAGTCTACATGAAAATTGCTAAAAAGCAACAAATTTGGAAGTTTTGGGATGGCCTAATCAAAGTCCAGACCTAATCCCAATTGAGATGTTGTGGCATGACTTGAAACGAGCAGTTCATGCTTGAAAATCCACACGTCACTGAGTTAAAGCAGTTCTGAATGGAAGAGTGGGCCAAAATTCCTCCACATCGACGTGAGAGACTGATCAACAACTACAGGAAGCATTTGGTTGGAGTCATTGCAGCTAAAGGTGCCACAACCAGTTATTGAGTGTAAGGGGGCAATTACTTTTTCACACAGGGGAGGCGAATTGGGTGTTGTGTAACTTTGTTTATGAAATAAATGAAATAAATATGTAATTGTTGTGTTATTTGTTCACCTTATGTTCCCTTTATCTAATATTAGGTTTAGGTTGAAGATCTGATAACATTCAGTATCACAAATATGCAAAAGTAGAGAAAATTAAGAAAGGGGGCAAATACTTTTTCATAGCACTGTAGATAGACTGTAAAATGTCAATAGAATTCATCTTAGTTAATGTGCAGAGGGCTCATCTAATGGTAATTCCTCAGCCTCTAGCCTTAACACAACCTGTCCCTAACTTTCTCCACTTTCATCCTCTCTCTCTCTATCTGTTCAATCAAATCAGAAAAATACCAGCTAGTGCCAGACAAGCCATACAGGTGTCCAGGCGGGGAATGAGCTCAAGCTTGGGCTTCAGACCCAGGCATAGGGGGCACTGACCTGACACTGAGGTTGAAGACTCTGCGGGCCACCAGGAACCTCATGAGATAGTAGATGACCACGATGAGCACCAGGAGACCCAGCACCGCACCGATGATGGCCCCTGTGATCACTCCGGCCTGGATGGGAACTGAGAGAGTGAAGGGAAAGGGTGTGTGTGGGTGTGGGGTGGGGTGGGGTGGGGGGAGTAGAGAAGATGGGTTGAGAGTGTAGTGTTAGAGTCTTGAAGTCTGAAGAAATGAATGGAGTAGTACGAGGAATGTATGTACGCCCATACACGACCGAATTTAGACGGAGAGGGGATTGCCAAGGGGACATCATGTTATAATGGAAAACGAGAGAGGCAGACGAGCAGCATCTGAGGTCATTGGTGATGTCACCGTACCATGTGAAGCTTCGTCTATAACTTATGATCAAGTCAGTATGAGCATCTTGTTCATGCATATTGCCACCACTCACTCGATACGACAGAGAAAGAGAGAGAGAGTGAGAGAGAGAGAAACAAAGAAATAAATAAATTGTAAAGGAGAGCAAGAGGACTGAGGATGAAAAGAGAGAGGGATGGAGAGAATGGAGAAATACGAGGAAGAGAAAGCAAAGCAAAGAACCAGTCTTCTGGATGACTGACATTAAACAACCTATTAACACAAATAAGGGCTTGCTTGTGTGTACAGTTATGGTCAAAAGTTTTGAGAATGACACAATTATTGGTCTTCACAAAATTTGCTGCTTCAGTGTTTTTAGATATTTTTGTCCGATGTTACTATGGTATACTGAAGTATAATTACAAGCATTCCATAAGTGTCAAAGGCTTTTATTGACAATTACATTAAGTTTATGCAAAGAGTCAATATTTGCAGTGTTGACCCTTCTTTTTCAAGACCTCTGCAATCCGCCCTAGCATGCTGTCAATTAACTTCTGGGCCACATCCTGACTGATGGCAGCCCATTCTTGCATAATCAATGCTTGGAGTTTGTCAGAATTTGTGGGTTTTTGTTTGTCCACCCGCCTCTTGAGGATTGACCACAAGTTCTCAATGGGATTAAGGTCTGGGGAGTTTCCTGACCATTGACCCAGAATGTCGATGTTTTGTTCCCCGAGCCACTTAGTTATCACTTTTGCCTTATGGCAAGGTGCTCCATCATGCTGGAAAAGGCATTGTTCATCACCAACTGTTCTTGGATTGTTGGGAGAAGTTGCTCTCTGAGGATGTGTTGTTACCATTCTTTATTCATGACTGTGTTTTTAGGCAAAATTGTGAGTGAGCCCAATCCGTTGGCTGAGAAGCAACCCCACACATGAATGGTCTCAGGATGCTTTACTGTTGGCATGACACAGGACTGATGGTAGCGCTCACCTTGTCTTCTCCGGACAAGTTTTTTTCCGGATGCCCCAAACAATCGGAAAGGGGATTCATCAGAGAAAATGACTTTACCCCAGTCCTCAGCAGTCCAATCCCTGTACCCTTTGCAGAATATCAGTCTGTCCCTGATGTTTTTCCTGGAGAGAAGTGGCTTCCTCGCTGCCCTTCTTGACACCAGGCCATCCTCCAAGAGTCTTCGCCTCACTGTGCGTGCAGATGCACTCACACCTGCCTGCTGCCATTCCTGAGCAAGCTCTGCACTGGTGGTGCCCTGATCCCACAGCTGAATCAACTTTAGGAGACGGTCCTGGGGCTTGCTGGCCTTTCTTGGGCGCCCTGAAGCCTTCTTCACAACAATTGAACCTCTCTCCTTGAAGTTCTTGATGATCCGATAAATGGTTGATTTAGGTGCAATCTTACTAGCAGCAATATACTTGCCTGTGAAGCCCTTTTTGTGCAAAGCAATGATGACGGCACATGTTTCCTTGCAGGTAACCATGGTTAACAGAGGAAGAACAATGATTTCAAGCACCACCCTCCTTTTAAAGCTTCCAGTCTGTTATTCTAACTCAATCAGTATGACAGAGTGATCTCAGCCTTGTCCTCGTCAACACTCTCACCTGTGTTAACGAGAGAATCACTGACATGATGGCAGCTGGTCCTTTTGCGGCAGGGCTGAAATGCAGTGGAAATGTTTTTGGGGGATTAAGTTCATTTTCATGGCAACGAGGGACTTTGCAATTAATTGCAATTCATCTGATCACTCTTCATAACATTCTGGAGTACATGCACATTGCCATCATAAAAACTGAGGCAGCAGACTTTGTGAAAATTAATATTTGTGTCATTCTCAAAACTTTTGACCACGACTGTACAGTCTGATTTAGCCTGGTCCCAGATCTGTTTGTTCCATCATGCCACTCCTTTGCCACTACTTGTCATGCCAAGCATGGAGTGTGACAAACAGACTGGTCCCCAGGCTAGTCATTCTATGCTCTCACCCTTGTCAAAGACCAGGAGTCTGACACTGGAGGTGCGTCCCACTATGTCAGGGGGGTTCTTGGCGTCACAGGTGAAGGTGCCGTTGTCTCCGTAGTCCAGGTTCTTGAGCAGGATGGATCCGTCCCGGCGACCAGGGTTCCCCACAAACTCCAACCTGTCTCTGAAGGGTCCCTTGTTGTCCACATAAGGGGCTCCACCAGTGTAGTGGAAGACCTGGAGCACGGAATTGGGAAGGGATTCAGTTTCTTGTCTGCTTTTACATTTAGGCTAAGGTTGCATCCAAAATGGCACCCTATTCCCTATGTAGTGAACTACTTTTATATGGGTCATGGTCAAAAGTAGGGAATACTAGGGTGCCGTTTTAGACCAGCCCATACAGTATGTGACATGAAATGTGTTGAAAGAAGTGGCTTGTAAGTTACGGCAATTATTTGAATCTCAACAACTGTTTTGAAGAGGAGTAGAAACGTAACGGAGTGATATCATTTCAGAGGGAGGGAGGGAGGAAAGAGAGGTGGATGAAGGAGGAGGAGAGAAGGAGAGAGAGACGGGGGGGGATAAGAGGGGGGAGATTGGGAACCATGGAGAGCAAAGCACAATGAGGATAGAGACATAATAACATGGAAACAATCAGATAAGGTGAGAGAGACTGAAAGGAAAGAGCTGGCACCAGGTGAGATGACGGCAGTGAGGAGGAGATGAGAACGTAGTGAAAGGCTGCATCCCAAATAGCACCCTATTCCCTATTTAGTGCACTACTTTTGACCAGGACCCATATAGAGACTAGTGTGCCATTTGGCACACACACTATATAGTGCACTACTTTTGACCAGGGCCCTAGTCAAAAGTAGTGCCCTATATAGGGAATTTGTCATTTGGGACCCGGCCATAGAGGAGGAAAGGAGATGAGGGGAATGAGAAGGAGATGAGGACGGAGTGATAAAGTAGGATAGAGGAGGATAATGGAGTGATAAAGGAAGATAGAGGGGGATAATGGAGTGATAAAGGAGGATAGAGGAGGATAATGGAGTTATATAGGAGGATATATAACTCCATTATAGGATAGAGTAAGAGGATATAGGTAGAGGATAGGATAGATGGGGGATATGGTGGTTATAGGAGGATAATGGAGTGATGAGGATGGAGGATATGGAATGTAGAGTGAAATAGAGTGATAGAGTATGATAATTAGTGTGGGAATAATTGAGTGATAAAGGAGGATAGAGGAGGATAATGGAGTGGTAGATGAGGATAATTTGGTGATATATGAGGATAATGGAGTGATAGGGGATACTTGGGTGTATAGGTGGATAATGGAGTTAGGGATTGGAGGTATGGTGATTTGAGGTAGATGGAAATGGATTTGTAAGGAGGTTAAGGAGGATATGGAGTGTAGGGGCGATAGGAGGATAATGGGTGTTTAAGAAGGTGGTTATATACAGAGATGCTGTCCCTGGCTCCATCTGCCCGGTAGCTCCAGGAGAAGGTGACGTCATCGGAGGTCCAGCGCCAGGAGAAGAAGGAGCAAGACAGACGGATGTCTGACCCCACCAGGGCGTGACGCTCCCAGCCCGTGTAGATGACGATGGCCTCCGACTGCTGGGGCACTATAGGGGATAAAGAAGAAAGATGAGCACTCATGTGGTTCATAACAACATCTTTTCACATTACCATTTGTTACCTCAGAAATACCATCCTACCATTCTCCTTATGTGTGTATGTTTCCACCATTGTTCATTTTTAATGGTGTTTTCAATAAAAAATATAAACACGAAAGATCAGCACTGCACGGTTCAAAACTTTTTTTCTGGGAATATAAAAGGACATACTATAAAAACAGACAAGATGGTGGAGAATGTTTTTTAGTTGCAAGGCGCTTTTCAAGACTATCCCTCCAGACTATTGTTGAGTCTATCGTCCATCCCGTTGTATTCACATCAATAAACCCACACAATCTTCAAAACTAGTGTGCTGTGGATGTACCATTTAATTTACTTTGAAAAGACAGACAAGTTGATCTAGTGGACTAGACAAGTTATTTTCAACGTTTTTATATACACTTCAGAAATCCATACACCACACAACCACTGTTTTATCCAAGGGCACAATGCACTATGAACATGAGTAGTGATGGCACAATGCACGTGAACTGAGTTAGTGTGGCACAAGCATTGAATGAGTAGTGAGGCACAATGCACTATACATGGTAGGATGGCACAATCACTATGAAACAAGTTGTGCACGCCCTATGACGTAGTGAGGCACAGCACTTGAAAAGTAGGGGGCCCCCATGCACTTGAAAAGTATGAGGCACATGCACTATGACATAGTTATGATGGCACAATGCACTATGACATGAGATGATGGCCACATGCACTTAAACCCTGGTATGATGGGGACAATGCACTATGAACATGAGTAGTGATGGCCCAATGCACTATGAACATGAGTAGTGGGGGGCAAATGCACTATGGAACATGAGTAGTGATGGCACAATGCACTATGAACATGAGTAGTGATGGCACAATGCACTATGAACATGAGTAGTGAGGGCACAATGCACTATGAACATGAGTAATGAGGGCACAATGCACTATGAACATGAGTAGTGAGGGCACAATGCACTAGGAACATGAGTAGTGATGGCACAATGCACTATGAACATGAGTAGTGATGGCACAATGCACTATGAACATGAGTAGTGAGGGCACAATGCACTATGAACATGAGTAGTGAGGGCACAATGCACTATGAACATGAGTTTGTGAGGCACAATGCACTATGAAAAATGAGTAGTGATGGCAATCACTTGAACATGAGTGTGATGGCACAATGCACTATGAACATGAGTAGTGAGGGCACAATGCACTATGAACATGAGTAGTGATGGCACAATGCACTATGAACATGAGTAGTGATGGCACAATGCACTATGAACATGAGTAGTGATGGCACAATGCACTATGAACTGAGTATTTAGGCACCCAAAGCACTATAACATGAGTATGATGGCACAATGCACTATGAAAATGAGTAGGGCCAATGCACTAGAACATGAGTAGTGATGGCACAATGCACTATGAACATGAGTAGTGAGGCACAATGCACTATGAACATGAGTAGTGATGGCACAATGCACTATGAACATGAGTAGTGATGGCACAATGCACTATGAACATGAGTAGTGATGGCACAATGCACTATGAACATGAGTAGTGAGGCACAATGCACTATGAACATGAGTAGTGATGGCACAATGCACTATGAACATGAGTAGTGAGGGCACAATGCACTATGAACATGAGTAGTGATGGCACAATGCACATGACATGAGTATGGGGGGCACAATGCACTATAACATGAGTATGATGGCACAAGCACTATGAACATGAGTAGTGAGGCACAATGCACTATAACGAAGTGTGGGTGGCACAATGCCTATGAACATGAGTAGTGAGGGCACAATGCACTATGAACATGAGTAGTGAGGGCACAATGCACTATGAACATGAGTAGTGAGGGCAAAAAACCCCAATGCACTAACGGGAAGGACATTCACAATGAAATGTATGAGGCACAATGCCATGAAAAGATATGATGCACATGCACTATGAAATGGAGTTCAGTGGATGGGCCAATG